CCTACAATATGTAGAAAGATTGAAATGAATAATTAACTACGTAAAGGCGTTTAAGTATTATTTACAACATGAGCAGCCGTGTTGTATCGGATATACAAACTCGAGCAGAAGGCGAGAGTTTGTATATCTGATAGAACATGGACGCAAATGGTTTGTGAAACGTCTTGATGAGAACATTCATATTTTTCAACAATTTACAAACTATATTAACTGCAGACAGCTGACTACTGAATGTCAAGACTGGAATCTTTCAAGTCCTCTATACATACATTTTTCAATGGTAGGTATGGTATAGGATTAAAAACCGAGGGGAGATTGTCGCCATAGTTACGAATGAATGCCAAATATTGCTCAAATATCACACGAATTTCTGGAATAAACCTCTCTCGATCATTGTCACATTCCTATAGAAAGATATGTCAGAAATTAAAGGCAAATGTAGGGGTGTGTGCCCCCTTTAACTTTGGTTAATTCAGGGGGAGGGGCAAGGGAGTTAACCATTCTTATGTGCAATCCTCAAAACATTGGAGAATGGGTGATGGTGCCTTACCAAATCCAATACAGACTTTAAAATAGGATGTTTCCCTCAACTAAGGTCAACAATCCCCTGATACACCAACATTTAAACCAAGGGCATGGTTGGAACACTACACTTGAGATAGACAGTAAACTCACCAATACAACTTGATCAATAGATCCATGATAAAATGCAAACAGGAAGTATAGTCGATCAACTGTTGCTAACAGAGTTGAATCTGGTTCAACAGAACTTCCTGCCAATGCCTACAAGAAATATACAACCAGATCTTTGACTGTCCTGAGCTTCAAATCTCATGTAAGTAACCCTTAGTTGTTGGTACATACTAGAAGCCTTGAGTGAACTGGGAAACCTTGTAAAATACTCAAATCTTTATACAATTATTATTATGACAATACTTACAAAAGAATACTTTCCCACATGTTTTACGGCAACTTTTTCATTGTTGAAACGAAATAAGACTGGACATGAATCAAACACAGAGTCAGTGAACTGGACAACACCCATGAGCTGACCACATAACCTGCACTGATTGTCCATGGGCATCTGAAACAGAATCAGGGTTTATAGTTCGTACTTTTAATTTTGTTTGCATCGCCAGTACTGTATAGAAACTTTTATGTCTTAAAGGGAAATGGCAATATATTTTTTTATTTTCGCATTTGAAAGAACTTTTGAAACTATTTAATAACTTCTTTTACCGATTCTTCATATCTTGCTTAGTTCTTGAAATATTTTCACTTGAAGTAATGAGATGTCAGCCATCTTGGATACATTTTTATCTCATTAACGGTAGTTTTGGTGACGTCACAACAGGGATTAACCATATAAAAGTATTCGTTGCTGACCAAATATTGATTGGTAGATGTTTTAAAGGTTTCAAGTGATCTTGATATTTCCAAGGGCATACGGAGTATAATTTTGAGTGAAAATGATTAGTGGTTGTCTAGATAAAAATATTGCGTGACCCCTGTTGTGACGTAACATGCATATCTACAAAAATCCAAGATGGCGGAAATTTCATTTCTTTCGATTAAAATATTTGTAGAAGTAAGCAAGATATGAAAAAACGGTAAAAGAGTTTTATATATGGTTTTAAATGTTCTTTCAAACGAGAAAATAAAAAAATATATTGCCATTTCCCTTTAAATCTATGTTAGTTAATTTAAAAATGCTATAAATCCCCAGATGTTAGGCCAAGTAAAAAAATTAGTAGTTTCTCGTCCCCGCCCGTATCCTTTTTCCCTGCCGCATGGATTTTTCTTTTTTTTTCTTTTTTTATATCCGAGCTGCCTTTCAAAGAATTTCCACTTACATATTTTGGGCATTTTGCTCCTTTCGGCATAGTTTAGTTGCCGTTCGGAATTTTTCGTCAACTATCACTTCGTTCGTGCATATTGTTATTTTGGCGCCATATTGCATTAGTATCTGTTTCACCGTTTGTCTATTTTATTATATATTTACGTTTTATGAGTAAACTTCAATATTTGTGTGTGTTTATACAGTACCATAGGTTATTTGGTAAACGTTAAGAGCAATATGTGAAGGTTTAACAAAAAAAAAGGGTCCGCATTCTTTTTTTTCAAAATTCGGACAAGAAACTACTAATTTTTTTACTTAATGGCCTTGGTGCACGGAGGATTAATCACTGGCACGCCACAAACTTTCTATTCTGGTTTAATTGCCAAAATTTAATATGCAGTTTAGGAAACTGAGCTATATAAATCTTACTGAATGCGGGTAAAAATATATGATAGCATCTTCCAGGCGATCCTCCTCTTTCTGTAGGAAATGACGATCATACACAAAGAAAATAGATCCTTCAAACCTGCAAAAATAGTATTGGTCAGTTTCAGTAAAGGAGGGCAGGAGAAAGTTGTCACAGAGATATTAATGATAGGAGCAACAAAATTAAACTACAATGTGAACAAGCTTTCACTGGTAGGGAATGCAACTACGGTACCTGAAAAATATAACAAGAATTTCGACATTTCAAAATTAGTAACTCTAGCAACTCTGGCCTACAGGTGTATGTACCACAGAATACCACACAAATTTACATGTTCCATATCTTTTGTCAAATGCACATAACATAGCTTGTTAAATATTTTTTAGCATAGTTTTTCATTATTTTTTTCTTCCTGTGGGGTCTTGGAGTTAGATTTGGCAGATTCTATTACTTTTTAAATCGGACATTCTGTGGATAAAATTCTAATGTACCACAGAATACCAGTGCGGCAATAAGTAAGGAACGGTTTATCAAATTATATGCAGGCCTTAAAATATCGGTCGGTCACGGACATTGTCCGACCCATTCGTGAAATTGTCCGACGTAGAGAGGAAATCACTGGACATTCTGTCCGACCAAAGTGAAACTGAGGTTTATTGTTTGTCTGACCCAAGTGAATTGGTGTCCGACCGAACTGTAGCTTTGTCCGACGTACTATTGTATAAAAGGTGTACTGGAAATGTTGTTTTAACGTAGTCGAGCGCGGGGCAGCAAGCGAAATGGTGAAGTGGAAAACAGGCTTAAGTTGTTGACATCTTTTTTAACACTGCTGTTCTGGCAAGTGAGTTGATTTTGGCTTGGAAATAAGTATGAAAGAAATTATTTAATATCCTTACAACATTTACCGTTTATTCATTTGTGTCATTCAGACTTATTTCCGAGTCAAAACTGAACTGAAAGTCATCGGACATATGTCCGACCCAAACTCAACGTCACTGGACATTTTGTCAGACGGCCTTGGAAAAGATATTTTAAGGCCTGTATACGAGGATATGATGTGTCATGTTGTGTGATAACACTGTACAGATATTGCTAACTTAATTTAGTGGAAAGTGAATACTAAAATCGCAACAGAATACCAGTGGTATGTACCACAGTATATTAGGTTTACCAATACGAAGTGGATATTCGTACTGGAATATGGCACCCGATTCTTACATTACGTAAAGTAATAGTTTTTTGCAACAGCTTTTAGCGAGCTTGCCACTAGCGTATTCGGCAAAGGCGTTGCGTGCGTGCGAAGTGAAATGAGGTCGGGTCCGGGTTTAGTTTCCGTCAGTTTTCTGTTGACTTAGAAATTTTTCTTAAAATATTTTAATTTTTTTTTCCACACTTTTTTAACTCTCCAATAGTTTATTAGACCTTTATTGGTTAGGGTTAGAGAAGGGGTTTGGGTCAAGTTTATCTTAAATATTACGACTGCAGTACAAATAGCAAATCAAACTCGGCATACTGTTTCAGTACGAATAGCCACAGCGTTACCAATAATTTTTAAAAAAATGAGTTTTTTATAGTAAATTTGATTACTCAGTGAGATTCCCAAATAGTAAAAGAAAAACTGTTAATGAATATAAATCACGTTGGTTTGCGAACTTGTTTTCAAACTTTCCGATTTTATGGGCATTAGGCAGAAAAAAAGTACCAAAAATAAGGAATTTTATTTGTTGTTTATCCCGATTATTTTCATGAATTTTATGAAGATATCCATTTTTCGTTTTTATATGACCATTGCGACTAAAACTAATATATATTCACAAAAATAAAGTATATAGCATGTCTCCTTCAAATTTTATAAGAGAAATAAAAAAACTGGTATTCTGTGGTTCTGTGGTACATACACCTGTAGTAACTCCAGACAAAAGGGCCTTCGCTCGAAACATTGAAATTCTCCTTATAGCTTATTTATATTATCGGCAATACCTACAGTACATTGGCACAGACAGTTCGAAATTAAACTACATCTCCATTCTATTTGTTTGCCTCCAAATACAAGATACCCTTCCAATACTCTGATAACGTCAGGTTGACCACATGATAGTGCTTACGGAGTAGAAATCTCTCATGCAAGGCAGAAGAATTACTGTTTTTATGTGTCAATTTTTGAGATATTTGGTACCTTACTGTACTTGTATTAAATTATATATTTAGTAAAGAATGTATAAAGACAATGTACCAGCTGCAGGCTACAATTGTTAGCAATGTATTTAAATAAACATATTACTAGATAACTGCATAATCAATGAATCATTGAATCGATGATCACGTAATAAATAAAGGCGAAACGTAGTGAATATTTACCTGTTTTGAAAGATTGCCTCCATATTTCAACCAAAACGTAACCATTTATGAGAAAAGCTTTAAATATATCTATTTTTGCAGCAAAATTTCTAATATCGTAAAATTTCGAGACATTTAATTTGAGCTCACATGACTTTGACAGGCAATACTTCATGTAATCATGTAATTATAGTTATACTAAACAAGTATTGTAAATATATCGTTTTACCTACAGAGAAAGGCCGCGTTGGATTATGGTACAAGTAAACGTTACATTTAATACGGCCGATCAAAGTTCTTTGTTTATATATTGTAAAAGTTGTAAACGTATTCATTATAGGGAATATAGGCTATTTATTTTTAAAAGAGAACATCGATTCTTTCAAGATATTCTCGCTAAGCGACTTCCTTCATCTCCGCAAATGAGTTTTTGAACTTTCTAAAAAAGGAAACAAATTGTTGTTTATGATATTTGCTGTGTTGGTGTAATGTACTCAGGTGAATAAGATGCTTCTGATGTTACTCTGAGTGTATATCCACACCGGGCAGGCTTGAAAAATATGCCTGACCACGGTGGGAATCGAACCTACGACCTTTGGAATACTAGCCCAATGCTCTGTTTAACCAATTTAAATTACTACTTAGCTTATTCTAGTGTACGGAGTAATAACATTGACACTCAAATCTCATTGGAGAGGTTCACACTTCATTTCCACTACCATTAATGGAATATCAGCCAATCAGATGCGTTTCATATATCCGATTTCACTGGGAAAAAATGTGAAATCCATACTAGTATATCCATACTATTTCGATACTATATCCATAGTATGAAAATATACAATTATTATGGATAATCAAAATCCATTCTATTTCCAATAAAGGTCCATAGAACTTCCATTTATACCTATGACTTTTTTCCATTCTACGAATTGCAGACTAAGTCAGGTAATGGAAGTCAAATCTATTATCACTATGACCACCTACGATAAGACAGTAGAATACATGCCACAGGATTTTTTAAAATCACAAAAATATCTTTAACCTCCATGTTTTCTGAAGTGAACAGACATTGTCTTTGTGTTTGCGGAAATCTTCTTCAACGCCATTCATTTCCTCTCTAAATAACGTACGGCATAGTTCAACAATTCTCATTATTTCAAGGCAGATGTAAGTATGCTAAAAGTATACGAAAAAGAATGCTAAAACGTACTTAATTTCTAGAAGTATTCCTATTAAGAAATCAGCAAATTCTCCTTTGGTTTCAGTTTGTATTTCTTCATACTTTTCAATTTGTCTCTCGCACGACGCTTTTCCAAGAGAAAATGTGAGTTCCTGGATTGTTCTGAAGATGAAAGTAATCGAGATGAAAGTTTGCCGATGATCAGCCATTTTCTACACGTATTGGTAAGTTACAGTTACGCAAATACAAGATTACTAAACGCATTATAACAATTTATATTAGACTTTCTGTATTGGTGTAATGTACTCAGGTAAATAAGATGCTTGTGATGTTACTCTGAGTGTATATCCACACCGGGCAGGCTTGAAAAATATGCCTGGCCACGGTGGGAATCGAACCTACGACCTTTGGAATACTAGCCCAATGCTCTGCCAATTGAGCTACGCGGTCAGATCGGTTCGAGTGTGTGATATTTCACATATTTATCAAGCCTGCCCAGTGTGGATATGCACTCAAGAGTATAATCAGTTATGTGTGGAATAAACTCCCACAAAACATTAAATGTGCAACAACAGTCAGGTATTTTAAGGCAATGTTAAAAAGCTTGATGCTAGAGGACATTCATGCAGAAAGGCTGCTTTCGTAATATTAGAATGCTGTTTTTAGGAAAGTGCAAGAAACAAGATCATTGAACTCCACCTTATCACAATCCGCATATCCGATCACCTATAGATACATGAACTTGTAGAACCTCTGTAGCTCAGTTGGTTAGAGCGCTGCACCGGAATCGCAGAGCAGTAGGTCCAATTCTTACCAGAGGACCAATTGTGCTGCATTTTTCGCAGTCGTTCCTGGTCAGGTTTTAAAGTGTATATATACTCACTTGGATTACTAACCCTAAAAACAGCATTCTAATATTAATTCCACCAAGTGAAGTGCAAGAAACAAGATCATTGCATTTGTAATAGATGTCTATCTTAAACTATACATAATTTTGAACTACTCTTATATTGTAGCTATCTATTAATAATTCTAATAGATCCTACTGTTTTTGTATATATATATATATATATATATATATATATATATATATATATATATATATATATATATATATATATATATATATATATATATATATATATATATATATATATATAGTTGTAATATAGTTAATGTCGAGCACTTTTAACATGAGCCTCTGGCTCGGAAGATTGGGGGACAACTTCCTGCGTTTTTCGACTTTAAATAAATCATTATCATTAATCAAAAGAATTATTGTCTCACTCTGATAACGACTGGTTGATCACTAGTTTTGCTACAAGTCGATTCGCACTGTAACGCAATGTATGAAGTACTATTTAAAGCACGCGTATGGGAGTGTTTTATCAGATATAAAACGCGAGGCGCAGCCGAGCGTTTTATATCTGATAAAACACGACTACAAGTGCTTTAAATGGCTTAAAAAACGACACATCTTCTGATGAGTAAATTAGCTTAAAATAAACTTTGTCTAAACCGAGAAAATCAAGGCTAAAGTTTGAGTAAATTAACATGATTTTTTATCACATGTAAAGATACGACACGCTTATGATTTTTCTTTGTGTTTTGCTCCTGAATTATTAATGAGTTTTTTAAAATAATTTTAAAAACTCATTAATAATTCAGGAGAAAACACAAAGAAAAATCATAAGCGTGTCGTATCTTTATACAGGGTGTCCCAAAAAAAACGAAAACTATATGTTGAAATAAATGTATTGTTAGAATTTGAATGCCTCCGCACTCTGCTGAACCCACACGTACATCAAAGCTTGACGTAAGTATATTTTATGCATAAAGAAACCGTTTAAGAAGCTGTTTTAAATTCCCAAGAGCAGAAAATCGTGCGCTTTACAAAGATATTTTAATTTCTTAATAAGTCAATATTTAGTATATGCATCCTGTCAATATTTTACGCATCTTTGCATTCAGCTTAGTGCTAGGGCATTCAAATTTTAACAATACGTTTATTCAAATGTTTTGCGGTTTTTTTGGGATACCCTATATGTGATAAAAAATCATGTTAATTTACATAAACTTTGGCTTTGATTTTCTCGGTTTAGACAAAGTTTATTTTAAAAATTACTTCGCCAATGAACTCATATAAGATGAGTCGTTTTTAAGCCATTTAAAGCACTTGTAGCCGTGTTTTATCAGATATAAAACGCTCGGCTGCGTCTCGCGTTTTATATCTGATAAAACACTCCTACGCGTGCTTTAAATAGTACATAAAGAATACTAATTAGGAGTGTGTTATCAGGTTTAAAGCCACTCTGCACGTGACATATTATGGTTGACATGATTTGCCAATAAGCTTATGAATTATTAATGATGTTTGAAAACTTGTCTTCAGTGGCGGCGCCAGGCCTCAGAATTTCGGGGGGCATTTGAGGGGCAAACCCCCCCCCTAGGAGATTTGCCCCTCTCTCAAAAGGGGGCGATATTCCTAAAAATACCGCCCCCGGGGGGACGAATATCCTAGGAATATTGCCCCTCCCCAGAGGGGCGAATGCCCCAGGAATATCGCCCCCCTTTAGGATATTCGCCCCCCATATATGCGATGTGGTTTATTCAAATAATTTCGTGATACTTTCATCTTATTAGTGCCTTAATTAAGGCCCATACAGAACGGACGCTATTTGGCAACGCGACGCGAATTTTCAGTTTTCAATGACATTTAGCTTTAATATTTTTCATTGTTTTTTCAAATATTTGGGACCATTTAGCAATTTTAGCTATTTGGTCTGCATACCTTGTAAAATTTTTATCCTTCGACGGTTTTATTTGTTTTTGAAAACTGAAAATTCGCGTCGCGTTGCCGAATCGCGTCCGGTTTGTGCGGGCCTTTACACATTTGAGAATTTAACTTTGCAAAACTAAAGCTTTTTTATCTTTTTTGAAACGTATTATTGGAGTATTGGAAAGTTTTACCGTCAGAGATTTACAAACTAATATTGAAACTGTAAAAGACAGTTTCATGTATACGCGCATTCACTAATGAGTAATGAAAACTTATAAGCCATACATTTTCCGATAACGACAAAACGCTTGTGTAGCCTTTAGTCGCTCTCAGTGATTCACATATTTTTGGGCAAAATAAATAGGGGGGGGGGCATTTGCCTCCCCCCCCCCTTGCCCCCCCCCTGGCGCCGCCACTGCTTGTCTTGCTTTGCGAGAAACCTCGCAGCTAAATTATACGTACGAGTCGACTTGTAGCAGTTTAGTTGATCAGCATCTCCTGTTTATCAACCAGTGTTTCCTTACCTTTCCTTTTGAAGTGATTTATTTTTCCATATCTCAAATTGCTTTTCAAGCTTGACCTCATTTTCTTTCAAACCCTCAAGAAAACTTTCTTGCTTTTGAAGTTGTTCAGCTAAATGTACATTTTCTCCTTGCTTCAATTCCAGCTCTGCTTTCACCCTTTGTAACTCGTCGTTTAATTGATATGCATTCTCTTCAGTTTGTGTATCAACATGAACAAAATATGTATTGTCTAACACTTCCAAATTTAATTGTTCTTCCTCTAAGATATTGTTCTTAATCTGTTCTAAGTTTTTTATATTCTCTGTTTTGATTACTTCAATTTGTTTGTTCAAATTCTCTTTATCAGTATTCAGAGAATTTACATCCATTACAAGTTGATTGACGAGAATATTTGTTTCTTTAATCTCTTTTGAGTATTCCTCAACTATTCTATTCTTCTCATCCAACGTTTGATTTTTATCACACAAATCTTTTTGTAGCTCTTTATTTCTTTCAGCTAACTGCTTCGAATTTACATTCAACTCTTGTTTTATATTCCTCAATTCATCAACTTCACTTAATAATTGTTTCATCTCTTCATTTTGCGTCCTTAACGACAAAATAATCATATCATCTTTTCTCTTTCTTCTGTCACTCTCCTTTCTTTCTTTTTCTCTTAACTTTTCACAATTTTTTGAACGTGAACTAACTTCAGCATGTTTAGTTTGAAGTTCAGAGTTCTTTCTAGTTAGCTCGTCAATCTTTAGTTGTTTTTCTTTCAGAACACATCTCCAGTTGGTTTCGCCATGTACAGTTGTGATTTGCAAAGCTTTCAACTGTTTCATAATCTCGTCTCGCTCTTCTTTGTGTTTCTGTTTTGTCTCCGCCAGAGCTCGGCGCAGCTTTGCGATTTCATGCTCTTTGTCAGAACTGCTCTCAAAATACTGATAATCGTCCCAACTTTTGTTCTTGCCTTCCAATCCATATTCAGATGTTTCTATCTCTACGTTATCTGGTAAATATTCCCTTCCATTGAGATTCTTAACTCCTTCATTCTGACAGACGTTTAACCATGTTAACGTGCTGTTGTCAATGCCTTTAATAGAATTTATACTTCCTTCATTCTGAGAAAGCTTTGCGGGAAACTTGCTGTTTGTCTCATCCTTAATAGATCCTAAATAGTATTCAAATAATTTCGTATCTCTCTGCTGTAAAACCAATTCTTTATCACAAATTTCCTGTTTTATTTTCATTATTTCTTCTTCAAGGGAGGATTTATTTTCTTCAAAAACGACTTGATCGATTCGTGAGCTTGCATCGTCGCCATTGCCATGTTCCAAAATCAAACTCAAAGATCTAACTTGCGTCTCCGTTTCTCTCAGTCTCTTGTGGCTTTGAAATAACTCCGCCAGCACATCAGAGCAGCTGGCCTGAGAATCATCTTGGTTCAGGCTCTCTTCATTCGCTACACTGCCACCAAAGGATGTGGGTATTCCCGAGTCTTCTCTGCTCGATTGAGAAATGTCTGTTGCGCCATCTGTTTCACTTAGCTCACTCATTTTGCCATCCAAATGAATCCTGTTGTTCAAAGTTGCTGAAAAAAAACAACAATATATCTTTGCTATGGAAGCACCTAACTGAATAATGCACCTAACTGAACAAGATGGAGACGACTTCAGAAAATAATAGACTATGAATTTTCCGTCGTTGGCCCCCCCCCCCACACACACACATACACCGCAAGCGTATGTGCAGACGGGTCCAATAGGACGAACTATCTCTCTACACAGTTTGTCTTGACAGATGATCTGTGTATGTGTAGAAATATGGAATCAGGCATGATTTGTTCTCAGAATCATTGCCAGTGCCAAAAGACTGTCAAACGAATAATCATTCAGATAATAAGGCTTGGTTACACAGTAAATCATTCGATGTAACAATATATAATAAATAAATACGGAAAGTAACTTAGAAATACAAAACATCGAATGCATGATACTGAAATGTTTACACATTTATGTGGCCAGATGAATGATAAACATGTTGAATAGTTCACGTACTACCGTAGACCACTTTCATAATACAGAGGCTGGCATTTAAATATTCTTTTATGTGGATTTTAATAAGCCTTAGAACTTGGTCTTGTTTCTGTGATTGTATAAATTGAATATAATTTTTGAGCGGGAACGAGGCCTGTACATTAGCTAAGACATTAGTAAACTGTATATATAATTCCAAAACAATGATGCGGTTACAATTACAGAGAATTACTATTATACAAACATAACAACGCTTACGTAAATTTCGAAGACATATTATGCTTTATTTAACTCAAATCAATTCACTATTACGGGCAATTAATGTACTGATCACGTGAATTCTACTCACCTCTAGAGATATCTGAATGTGGTACTCAGTCAATATGCCACAAGCCTCGACATTGAAAAGGATGTTTTACGTTTCCAAAATGACTTGTACTGTTCTCACCTCCAGCTAAACACGGTGTTGAATTTCTATCGTACGGTGAAGATATTTCAACTCAGCGCCAAATCAATTAAACGCGAGTAAGCGCGGCTAATTCAGCACAAGCGTGGCATAAAAAAGATCAGTTTTTTCGTTCAGAACGACCTCTGGTCTATCATAATTTCAGGTATGTTAATGTAACTGACAATTGTTCGCGCAATATTTTTTAGAGCGCGCGCAAACTATTTAGCATATTTTGCGTCTATATTAAGGATCAAATTACTTATTTTGAAGCGTATATATTTTAAAGATATCAGAGATATGAAAGACAGATTTCTATACTAGAACTCTAGGACTTGACGATAATATTTGCCAAGACTGCCAAGCAAAGTCCTGAGTCATGTTTAGCTAACGCTCTTACACATTACATAATGTTTAGGAATTCAAAATTAGCAGCTGGTCATCAACTTTATAATTCAAACTCTCGACACTTGTAGTCCTTGTAGGAACAAGAAAATTAAACCACAACTTCCAATGGGCAATTACAGCAAAAGATTAAATTTTGATCTAGGCAAGAAGAACAAAATCCATCACCACAGCTAGAAAGAGCATGTTACAATTAGCAAAATTACAAAGTTTGGCCGCGAAATGTTATAAAATGCGGAAAATATAGCCCTGCGAAATTTGAAAATTTTGTATTAATTTGTATTACGGAATTTACGCACGGGAAAATGTACCACATTTCGGCCGAAAGTGGTGCAAATTCCCGTGCGTAATACAAATGAATACAAAATTCGTAGGGATACTATATTTTCCTCATTTTACAACATTTCGCAACGAAACTTTGCAATTTTACTAATTTTAACATGCTCTTTCTAGCTGCATGTGGTGATGGATTTTGTTCTTCTTGCCGTTAGATCAAAATTTAGTGCTGCTTGAAAGGTGTTGGGTGATGCAAAGAATTGACCATATTTTTTATCTTTTCTTTAATACAGGAGGCTGGGGAGAATGGTTGAAACACTTTTAAAAAGACAGGTTCTTCTACCAATCCTGACTATCACAACCCTATTATTACTAACTCTAATATGTGTAACACTCATTATCACTCGTTCAGAGCCGAACGACGAAACAGATGCTACCTACTTTAGTACGGCCGCAGTAGCAGCAGATGTAGGAATGTGTTCCGATATTGGCGTGAAGATACTAAAGAAAGGCGGAACGGCAGTCGATTCTGCTGTTGCAACATTATTCTGTCAAGGAACAACAAATATACATTCATCTGGAATAGGAGGCGGATTATTTATGGTGGTATATGTAAAGAAGCTTGGCAAAGCGTGGTTCTATAACGGACGAGAAAAAGCACCAGCTAAAGCCACAAGAGATATGTTTGTTAATAATACTCGAGCATCTAAGCAAGGTACAGTTAAACGCCTTTAATATCGACACTCAAATACCGGAGCAAAAAATTGAAAGGCGTTGACAAGTCAGTCATTCTTTCCGAGTTTCCATATATGGTACAAAAGAAAACATTGTTGACGTTGTTGCAAACTGACATAATTTTCCAGCTGTACCCATGTTTTCCAAATTTTCTTACTACATAGGAGCGTTAGCAGTGGGAGTTCCAGGAGAAGTAAACGTCATGTATAGAGCTTGGCAAGAACATGGTCAGCTACCCTGGAACGATTTGATTCAACCTGCTATTGATTTGTGTAGGAATGGATTTCCTATCTCAAAGGTGTTGCATGATCAGATAAAGAAAAGGGAACAACTTTTATATAATGACACGGGATTTAGGTATACGATGTTTTATTTTAAAAAACTATATTTTATGTTCCCCATTTTTTGTTCCATATATTAAAATCACTGTCACTACCATCACCATCATCACTACCACCATCATATCATTATAACCATCATCACCATCACCATCATCATCACCACCGTCATCATCACCATCACCATCATCATTACCACCATCACTACCATCATTATAACCATCATCACCATCATCATCACATCATCATAACCACCGTCATCAATACCATCATCACTATCACCTTCATTATAACCATCATCATAACTATCATCATCACCACCGTCACCACCACCGTCATCACCACCATCATTACCACCATCACTACCATCATTATAACCATCATCATCACCATCATCATAACCACCGTCATCATCACCATCATCATTACCACCATCACTACCATCATTATAACCATCATCATCATCACCATCATCATCACCATCATCATAACCACCGTCATCATCACCATCACCATCATCATTTAAATCATTACCACCATCACTACCATCATTATAACCATCATCATCATCACCATCATCATCACCATCATCATAACCACCGTCATCAATACCATGATCACTACCACCATTATAACCATCATCATCACCATCATCATCATCACCATCATCACCATCATCATATCCACCGTCATCTTCACCATCATCACCATCATCATAACCACCGTCATCACCACCATCATCATCATCATCATAACAACCGTCATCACCACTACATCCCCATCATCATAACTACCGTCATCATCACCATCATCACCACCATCATAACCACCGTCATCTTCACCATCATCACCATCATCATAACCATCGTCATCTTCACCATCATCACCATCATCATAACCACCGTCATCTTCGCCATCATCACCATATCATAACCACCGTCATCTTCACCATCATCACCATCATCATAACCACCGTCATCTTCACCATCATCACCATCATCATAACCACCGTCATCTTCACCATCATTACCATCATCATAACCACCGTCATCACCACTACATCCCATCATCATAACCACCGTCATCACCACCATCATCACCATCATCATAACCACCGTCATCTTCACCATCATCATCATTCATTGTAAGCCTGTACATTTCAGGAAACTTTTCTTCAGAAGTGATGGTTCAATGCTGAAGATAAACGAAACATTGTTAAACCCGGAGTTAGGATCAACTTTGGAAAAGATCGCAAAAGATCCGATGAGTTTTTACCACGGCTCAATAGCAGAGCAAATTGTGAGAGATATTCGGACGTTAGGAGGCATTATCACACGTTCTGATTTGAGGAATTATGATGCGGGGAGAGCAGAGGCTTTACAAGTTAGCTTGAATAAGAAACTTAAGATATGGACATCACATCCACCTTCCAGTGGTCCGGTGTTGGCAATGATACTTCAAATCCTAAAAGGTATGAGCAGCTTTTGGACGTAGAAACGAAATTATCAATTTCAAGACGTAATTACCATTACATTTAGTATTCAGCTCATTTCCAGCTAGCAAATGACAAGTAGCTAGCAAATGAAACATCTCAACATGTAGTGGAAACAGTTAAAAATTATTTCCTTACTCTGGCAACTGCTGGTTGACCAACCGACTGTTACACGAATCGCATTGAGTGAAGAGGTTGTCAATTGCAATCATTAAAAAAAAATTGTATGACTTCAGGATTTCGATTTAGCAGTCAGGACATTGTCGGTGATGAAAATTTGGTAAGAAGTTACCATCGTATCATTGAGGCTTTCAAGTTCTCTTACGCCTATCGCGCTTTGTTGGGAGATCCCGAGTATGAAGATGGCATACACGAGGTATTTACACAAGAACTTTTTTCCATGTGTTTTTCACGTAGTTCAGACATAAACCAAGGCAGCTTATTGTAGAATACTACCTACAGCAGACCACAATGTTTGAGATATCTTTTTCAGGTAGTTCAGACACAAACCACGACAGCCTATTGTAGAATACTACCTACACTGGACCACCACGTTTGAGATATCTTTTTCAGGTAGTTCAGACATAAACCAAGGCAGGTTATTGTAGAATACTACCTACACTGGATCATGTTCCACAAATGAAAAACTGTGTCGTACATTTTCTAGACTGTTAAGAACATGACAAGTCAATCCTTTACAGAGAAGCTACGTAGAAAGATAAACGACAATAAGATTCACAATATTTCATATTATGGTGGGTTTTACTCAGACTGGAATAACCAAGGCACAACACATCTCTCAGTGTTGTCAAAAGGAGGAGACGCTGTCGCGGTTACGTCCACAATAAATACAGGGTAAGTTCATCTACATTCTTGGAATGAACTCATTCAGACCAATTTTCGCTCTTAGAGCCCGTAATAGAGGATGCTAACCATCTTGATTAAAATCAAGTCATTTCTATGCTAGTTATACTGGATAGGTCTATCAGTTATATATACTGTTCTCACTAGACGTCCAGTTAATAAGCCTTATTTTACAGGTTCGGTTCCAAAATCAGATCACCATCTTTGGGAATTGTTTACAACAATGAAATGGATGATTTCTCAACCCCAGACTTAGTCAATGCGTTTGGAGTTGCACCTTCGCCTAATAACTTCATTAAACCAAACAAAAGAATGATGTCTAGTATGAGTCCCAGTGTGGTGGTTGATGATTTGGGTAATGCTAGATTGATCTTGGGTGCTTCAGGAGGAACTAGGATTACAACTGGAGTAGCACAGGTGGGGACTGTTGAACGATAAAGAGGTGGGGTCAGGTAGGGTTAGGAATGGAAATATGGAATTAGGAATACAGTTTAAGACAATGTCACACGAAATAATCGTAGCTGCAACCTGCAACGCAATTTCGGAAAATGTCCTCGTGTAAAATAGTCTCCCTCGCAGCCGCTCTTTGTGTCGAGGTACAAAAAGCAGTGGCGTAACGTCACATCTTGGGGCCCCATTAAAAATATTAAAAGGCCCCCCCCCATAACCAATTATATTCTAAAAGAGCACATCAGTTATCCCCCAAAACTTTCCTTTAAAGATACACTGTTTAACCGCGGTTTTGAGGGATATATTTTCATCAAAATGTTTAGGTGTAACTACCGTATACCGTATACTGACTATTGACTTACATCAAAACTGACTGACAATCTGATATAAATGCTAACAACCTAACAGTTCTGAAAAGTCAACAAAAATGAATGGACGACTTGCGCTTTAGAAAAATTTTTAATCTGGGAATAACAAAGGATATTTTTGGAAAGAAGTTATTATTATCAAAATTAGAAAAACAGCAAAGTTTGGTTGCGAAATGTTGTAAAATACGGAAAATATAGCTCAGCGAAGTTGGCAAATTTGTATACATTTCTATTACGTGTGGAAATTGGTAACTAATTTAGTTACCAATTCACGCACGTAATACAAAAGTATACAAATTTGCCAACTTTGAAGGGCTATATTTTCCGTATTTTACAACATTTCGCAACCAAACTTTGTAATATTACTAATTCCAAGACGCTCTTTCTAGCTGTGGTGATAGATTTCGTTGTTCTTACTTAGATTAAAATTTAGTCTTCAGCGCAAGTCGTCCAATCGCTTCAGTTGATTCCTAAAACAAGGAATCATGCAGAAGACTCTGATGTGCTTTTTTTTTTGTTCTACATTCTGGCCAGGGGCCCCCTTAGGCTTGGGGGCCCCCGGGTTCGCCTGGTCTGAGCCCTTAGTAGTTACACCACTGACAAAAAAGCGGCTGCGAGGGAGACTACGTGTAACATATGGCCTTTAGCCCGGGTAGGATCAAGGTTAGAGTGAGATTTAGGTTAGGCAACGTTAGAATTAGGGTAAACTAGAATAAGAATTAGGTAAGGGACGGTCATACGTAGCACACTTCCTGACCGATCTAAAATTACAGTAGATCTCAAACAGAGGCCGGTTCATTGGGCTTCTTGTGCGGAGTGTTCACACAAATTTGAATGGATTAACTGAATCACAGTGAATGCATGGGCTGAGCAAGAAATTAGTTCGAAGACCACCTCTCGAGGTTTACATGCTTCTCGAATCAATCTTAGCTCGCTTTTGGTTTCCACATGCATCCGGTACGGCTCTGAATCGATTTCGGTCCATCTAAAATCGCTCGTGCGAAGGGTTGGGATAAGAGTCGGAATGGACCTATTCCCTAATGAACAAAATCGATCTGATCTAGACAAGTAAAAAATTTCATCACATGCAGGTTGAAAGAGCATCACAAAATAGTAATATTCCGAAGTTTCGTTGCGAAATGTTGTAAAATGCGGATAATATAGCACTGCGAAGTTTGCCGTTTTTCAGTCATTTTGTATTACGCACAGGAAATTGATACCGCTTTCTGAACTGAAAAAGTATCAATTTCCCGTGCGTATTAATACAAAATGACTGAAAAACGGCAAACATCGCAGGCTATATTATCCGCATTTCACAACATTAATTCGCAACGAAACTTCGGAATATTTATACTAATTTTGTGATGCTCTTTCAAGCTGTGACAAAATTCTTGTCTAAATCAAAATTTTGTTCATTAGGGAATAGGTCCGTTAGCGAAGGCTAGCTAGCGTATTCTACTCCGTCTGATGATGTTACAACTTCTTTATTCCAGGTTCTTATGAATCATCTGTGGTTTGGACTAAATCTAGAAGAGTCAGTACGACATCCACGACTACATCATCAGCTGGTACCAAATTACATTCGTGTGGAGAAAACATCAAAATACAGAATGAAACAAGCCATTCTAGACGGATTGAAGAAACTGGGACATACATATAAATTTCTCACGAGTACCAGTACTGTACAGGCTATTGCTGTCGACGAGCAAGAAAGAATTCGCGCTGTTTCTGATCCACGTAAACATGGAAGGGCCGCAGGATATTGAAAGTTTAGATAAAGTTATATAAGGCTATAAGCGTGCAATAAAATATCAATAATTATCATTCTCTTTTTGCATTGAAGAAGCCACATCCGTTTTTAATATATTGGCATTACTGATCGAAAACGCGAAAATAAACAAATGCACAAAAATAAAAGTTTTATATCGCTACTCTGGTTTGTAGTAATCAATGTATTGTTTTAGAAAAAACTACAATCATTTGTTATCGATGTTGGTAAGCAATCACGTCAGCATTGGTCAATTTCAGATGTAACTCATTATGTATGCATATTAGGGACTGGTCATAAAGTAAAAGGGGGGTGGGCTGGGGAAAATAGGGTGGGTGGGTTACTATTTTTGAGCACGGTTGAAGGAGTGGGTCATCGAAAGTTAAGTGCAATCATAAGGGTGGGCCATGTAAAAATGAGCATGTGTATTAAAATTCATATTATAAAAACAGAAATAAAACGTATCAAGATCCATGTGTAAAATTTATACCGCAAACCGGTTAACCTCAAACTTAAAAGCTGAATTTACTGTCTTGGCTAATACGTTAGTAGTGGCCAACTAATTTTCTGATAATCATTATTGCTAAATGTCACGAGCTTCGTGCTTCATATATGATTTTCCCAGCCCCCCCCCCTTTTACTTTATGACCGGTCCCTTAGCCTTTCTCACGCCGCCATTTTTGGGGTACTGTAATTTTCGTATGTGGGCCATTGTGAAAAGCAATATTTCAGAAGATCCTAACTATTTACAGAGTAAATTTACCATCATACACCCACAAAATTATAAAATGTCGCCGTTACGTGGTGTTACGCTCGCAGGATTGGCAAAAAAGCACCCCAAAAATGGCGGCGTGAGAAAGGCAAATTCTGCAAGCCACTAAATCCATCCAGCACTACCTACGTAGGTCAGTGATCACGCGATTATGACGCATGCCAATGGCCTGCATGCCTTCCCACACCGGATGTTGTATTTATAATATAGCAACAAAATTTTCGTTTTGTAACAAGGAACCTTTCACGATATATCGCTAGCTTATTTGTGTGAAATTTAGTAAACGTCGAGTAAAAGCGCAAGAATGAGTAGTTCGTCTTTATGTGTTAACTGTTCAATGCAATTTACGTTGTTCAAGCGAAAGGTATTTTTAAATTTTTTCCTGAATGATGTAACATATTCTCGAGCATATTTGTGTGTAGTACTGTACGTTATATAGTTATAAGTATTGAATAGTAGGTACCGGCAAATCCAAGTATATATATTTAGAATATTAAAATTGTTTGATTCTTTAGAGTGGATATTTATAATTTGATAAAATCAGGTGTTATATTCACAGATGGCTTATACCAGTGACCTCCATAATATATGTATATATCTGGAGTGAGAATTCCACGAAGCTGGCAAAGCATCAGAGGCGAAGCATGTGCCAAACAGCACCAAATAAAAGCGGATGCCAGACAGCACCTCCACTAATTTTTCAGGGAATGGACGATACCAGTTTTTCAAATCTGATACGATACCTAATACAATACTACACATTTTGGTTGACACCGATGACACAGAATACTACACAGAAGTCCATCTCCATTGTTTTTAGCGTAAGCTCTATTCGTCATGATTCGTCACTCAGCAAGTACCGTAAACAGAAGCAGTCCCCCTCCTGGAAATACTAAAAATGGCGTATGTCCAGGGGGGTGATTGCTTCTGTTTACGGTACTTGCTGAGTGACGAATCATGACGAATAGAGCTTACGCTAAAAACAATGGAGATGGACTTCTGTGTAGTATTCTGTGCTTTAGTCATGATTTTTGTTGCAACTATATTATTCACAGCATTACCTGCGAACAGGCATACTCTGGCGCCCGGAATTTTGGGTTTTCTGATTATGCGTGTCTCAGAATGATGCAAATGCAATTTCCGGGATTCAAATTTAAAAATTTTCGAGCCCCCCCCTCCCCCCCCAATATTTTATAAAGTGTCCGCCACTTGCACACACGGTGGCTTAAAAGGTCTTAAACTGTTTATTCTACCGATAAATAAAGGGTTTTTTATTGACTGGGATTTCAATAACTCGGACTGGGATTTCTAATAAAAATCCAACTGCATGGGACTGGGATTTTAGTAGTATAGAGAATGAGGGTTCTAGACCACTTTTTCGGCCCGCGATCTCACCCAACTTCCGGTCAGCGGTTTCCATATTTTTCCCTCAAAAACGCGGGCTCATATTTTTCTAGACCATTTTTCTAATATTTTTGGTATTATTTTTTCTATTATTTTTGGTATTATTTTTTCTACTATTTTTGGCGTTATTTTTTCTATTATTTTTCTATTATTTTTCAGCATTATTATTTACAAGAATAATTATCATATGCTAGGGCTCATTTTTCTAGACCATTTTTTATCTATTATTTTTCAGAATTATTTAACATCTTCTATTTCACTCCTAAGGATACTTAGGGGGCCGTAGCTTTTAGGTTCGAATACAGAGTTTGAAGTATCTTTTTTATCTTGTGTGCTCACTCCAATGTTAATATTATTTGATACAGAGAAATTTATATCACCAGCCTTTCCATTTCTACTAGAACTCTTACGACAACCACAAATCTTACCTAAGCAGGAGAAGCATGACCTCCACCTTGACATCTTATCTTATGATAAACCCCATGTTAACTACCAGACCCCGAATATCGAAGTGACCAGCAAAAGGACATATCCATGCTAGTACCAGTGGGCATTGAGTGCTCCGGTTTAACTATAATACACCAAGCTAAAGTATTATCTACCAGTTCAGCCTGGGCTCCTAAGTAGAACATACTATTACCCTTGAAAACGTAGCAAGCTGTACTTCCACCGGTAGTTGTGTAAGTTCCATTAAACCAGGTGTATGACAGTCTTCTTAAGTCAACCGTGGCGAGGGTGATTTCCTTTTTGACCTTTGTAAATTTTCCATTAGATTGTCTTTCCCAAACAGTAGCCCATAGGATCAGGGCTATTGGTATATTTTGAATAGTTGAAAAACGTGGGTAGTCTGATTTAATAGTTATAGACTCAAGGTTAAGGTCTGCCATATTGTTAATAGGATCTGTTCTCCATGAAGGTGGAATCTGATCGTGACAGTAAGCATAGTACCTTGCTGCAGCGGTTGATACTCCCCTGTAACCCCAAATCCACTCTGCATGTATATGTCGCCGTAATCTTACATATCTTAAGTCAGCCGTTGCTTGAGTAAGGCCAGTTGAAGGTTTTAGGAAATTCTTTTCTACCCACTGTTTGTTAACAGCATCCTTATCATTTACAGGATCCTTCAAATCAATAATTCCACTTGAATCTCCCATGTCCAAATCACCCTTTACCAGTCCACCTCTACTACTCATGAACTCATCTGTTGCCCATTTCTTATTAACAGCTGAACCGTCAGTAGTAGGATTTCCAACTCTGGTCAACTCGTAACCGTTAACATCTAAGTTACTAGCTAAAGTGCCACCATCACGCTTAAGAAACTGTGAGCACCAGGAACTCATAGAACCGTAAGAAACAGCACTAGAACTTCCCGTTGACCCACTATTTAGCCCCGTAATAGTATTACCAGCCATGTCAATATTACCGCTCATAGTAAAGCCACTACTACTTACGGAACTCCCACTGACATGATCCGTGACCCATTTCTTCGACACAGCAGAATTATCAGTTGTAGGAGCACCTAACTTTATAATTTCATTGTTTCCCATATCAAGGTCATCATCTAATGTAAGTCCACTGTAAGTCTCACGTTTTCTTCTTCCACTGTTAATTTTATATTCCACCCATCTTTTGTTAGCTGAAGATGTATCAGTTTGAGGAGACCTAACATTTAGTATTTCATTTCCACCCATTTCAAGGTTACCTGTCATTGCTCGCGAACCGCTAAGTTTTAATAAGTTGTTTGAGTACCTTTCAAGATACTGCAATCTTACTAGACTATTTGAGTTTCCAGGGTCGGAGTTACAGTTAGGTGCATTGCTAAAATTAATAGTACCAGCAACATTTAAGGATCCTGTTCCGTCTAACCGTAAAAATGTTCCTTCATTTAAATTAAACCAGCTTCTTGTAACCACAGCTTGGTCGCTAGTGGGATCCCCAACATTTACTATTTCATTTCCACCCATCTTAAGGTTACCAGTCATTTTACTTTGACCACTTAGTTTAAGGTAAGTAGATATCTGGCTAAATCTAACAAGACTGGATGAATCTAGACCGTCTGAGTAACTTTTGGGAGCAATGGAGAAACTAATAGGTCCCGTTACACTTTGCGTTAGGAAGGAGTCACCTAACCTTAAAAATGTTCCCCTATTTGAACTAAACCAACTTTTTGTAACAGCTGATTGGTTAGTAGTAGGATCACCAACATTTTTAATTTCATGTCCACCCATCTTAAGATCACCTGTCATTGTAAAACCTGAGTGGTTAGGAAGCGCAGATATTTTATCTTCAACCCACTTTTTTGATGTAGCCTCACTATCAATTTTAGGCTCAATAAGATCAAACAGTCTCCAACCTCCCATGGAAACATCTGCCTGCATAATTCCACCTTTCATTTTAAAGTTATTATCGACCACCCACTTCTTTGTGACAGCTGACTGGTCCTCGGAGGGATCCTTAAGATTCTTAATCTCGTGGTCCTTCATATCGATATCTCCAGCAATATCAAGTCCAGTTACAGGCTTA